ATCTTGTGCTGGAATGTGGTTACACAGTCACTGTGTTTTGGCAATGATGGCAATACCGGTGCCGAGTTCATGCACTGGACGGTGAACTTGCAGGCAACCCTCTGCTTTGTGACTGGATGTGACTGTTGGTGCCTGGGGGGCCACACTGAGATTGCTCCATCAGGTCAAACTGCAGAGTGGGGCCGACAATCCCCCAAACTGCTGGTTAGTTCTGATACTTATGTAACCCTTCTGCCAGGCAGAGTTGACAGCAACAAGGGCCGGGGTCAATACATAGGGGTTCCCTTTCAACAATACAATGCAAAACTGGCTTGAGTTCGCACCCAGTGACCTGGGAAAATTACACACACACTGCTGGGTGCCTCAAAGAGGCAATACTTCCCCTCTCACGAGCACAGAGGCTCGGTGTGGCTAAAATCTTTAATAACAGAAGGTACACAACTCAGCATTAAATGGGAAAACATCACAACTAGGGTTCATAAACACAAACCATGCATCAGACAACCCATCCCCAAGCAGATTGGGCCATGCCCTTTCCCTTTGGTTCTTGAGTCCAGCAACCCAAAAGTCACCTTTCCCACAGTCTCTGCCCTTGGCCAGTGCAGCCCAGAGTTCAGAAGTTCATGTGCAGAGTTTACCTCCCAGGCTGGGTGGAAGGTACGGGGGCACCTTACATGCTCTGTTATTTGGGTTGACGGCTGATTGCCAAGCCTCTCCTTGGCGTTCTGCTGCAGACTTCATCGCCAACCACACCTTTCCACCAGCCGCCCAGCTGGCCGCTCAACTCCACCAGCCATCCTGAAACCTATCTACCAATATGTCTTCAGGCGCTCCCCACTCCCTTAACTCAGCTCTTAGGGATTTCAGCTTTTAATAGGGGAGCTTCAGTGCTGGTTCACTCAGAATCACTAACCCAAAGTAGGCCTCAGTGATTTCAGCTCTGCAGTATGTAACAAGACTCCTAATAGATCCAAAATTATACAGTGGAGCGGTTAAAGTACTGTTCAGGACCCTCAGAGCACCCACACTACCAAGCACAAATACCCATCCTCCCTCAATTCACTGGGTTTTGGAACCCATGTCCCTTGCCTAGCGAGTGCTACATTTTGAGGGCAAGTCCCTCAGTCATACAGTGCCAAGTACAGTTCTACTGTCCTTCATTCACATAACCAGGGTAACAACCCTTTATTACTCCTGCCCCAATACAAAGAGACTGGGGATCCCAGAGCAGCCAAAGTGACCATTTGGGCAGGCAGTCCCATCGTGCTAGGCAGGGTGGGGGTGCCCATGCAAAGGAGATCAGCCCTGACGTCCTTTTCCACAGCTCACCACCAGATGTCAGGGGAGAGCTCATTCTGACTCTGCTGACACTTCGATTCACCAAGCCAGCAACAAAACAGCTGCTCCGATACCGTGCTGCTCACCCAGAAGCCAGAAACACAGCGCCCGGCTACATTCTAGCGTGGCTTTAAAGGGAGAATTTGGGTCATTTAGCCGGCAAGTTGCTTAACCCTTTCTGGCTCAGTGTCCCAAAGGGGCTGACTTTTGCTCAGAGCATCACTTTTGCTGACTTTGTTTCGAGCCTTGTACCAGGCCCCTGCTCCAGGCTCTCTCTGCTCCAGCTCCATGTCACTCCCCCAGGGCAGCGCTGGGAGGGGTATGTGCTGGGACTGGCATTGCCAGCCCAGTCCCAGGCTTCCCTGAGACACCCTGGCTTCCAGCGGCATGGTGCAGGGACACATGGGCTGGCCAGCTCTGCGTCGCTCCCCCAGGGCAGGGAGTTTATCCAGGGCACAGACCAAGAAATCTCTCTGGGCTCACAGTCCAGTGGATTTGGAGACCCCTTTGTGTTGGTGAAGCTGGCACATGCACCAATGCCAGGGGCGGCTCTACGTTTTTTGTCGCCCCAAGCAAGGCAGTCAGGCGGCCTTCGGCAGCATGTCTGTGGGCGGTCTGCTGGTCACGCAGATTTGGCGGCATTTCTGCGGGTGATCTGCCAGTCCCGCGCCTTTGGCGTGCCCACCACCGAAATGCCCCCGAAGCCGCGGGACCGGCAGACCTCACGCAGTCATGCCGCCAAAGGCAGCCTGACTGCCACCCTCACAGCGACCGGCAGACAGCCCCCCATCGGCTTGCTGCCCCAGGCATGCACTTGCTGCGCTGGTGCCGGGAGCTGCCCCTGACCAATGCAAATCCCCTGGCAGGAGATACCCACATGCTGGAGTCTCCACCGGGGGACGCTGGAAGGTGCCAGCTGCTAAATCGCTTTGAGCTGGTCCCTGTCTGTGCTCCCTGAGCCCCCCGAGTCAGCAAAGCACATGCTTGGCTCCAGCCCTGCCCAGCTACGCACTTAACTCGGCTCCAGTGGGTCTCAAGTGCATGGCTGAGCTCGTGACGACAATCCCAGGCACTAAAAAAATCAGATTCGCTTAGAAAATCACGAGCTTTAGAAAGACCAATGAGCCAGGGGCAGTGTGTGGATTGAATTGAATTGAAAAGGGGCAAATTCAAAGCAGACACAGGGAAATACTCCACCACCCAGGGCAGCAGTAGCCTCTGGAACTCACTGCTACCGCGGCCTGGAGGCTGTGAATGTCGAGTTTTAAAGAGGGACTGGTTGTTTCTATGGGGAACGACAATGCCTGGAGCTGTGCTAGTTAATGGACAATAATTCTGGGAGGGAGGGAAAAGCTCCCACTTCTGTGCTTAGCCCCCTAGCCTGCAAGCAATTCCAGGAAAGCCCCTTGCAGATGTAAAGTGAGAGCTTGTGATGCTAACACAGTTTTCAATACACCATATTCTCGAGTGGCCGTTCCGCTGCCAGAGCAGCCAAGTGTAGCCTGAGTGTAGCTGAGAATCGGGCCTGTGGTTGTTAAGCTCCCAGGGGACTGGTCACCTCGGTGACATCACCCAGCTCAGCACAGGTGCGTGATACAGGAACATCTCCC